AGGCTAGTCTCGAACTCCTGAGCTCAAGCAATTCTCCTGCCTTGGCCTCCCCAGAGTGCTGGGATTATAGGCATGAGCCATGGCACCCAGCTGGGAATGTACTTTCAATGCTATTTAAATATGGATAAAAACATTTTGACTTAACCAGGTTTCTAATGATGGCAGTTCACAAACTGTTAGAATTCATCCCCTTCACGTGAGCCCTAATTTCTTTGATTCTGAACCTTAAGGCTGTATGAATGGCGTTCCAGATGTCTCCAGATTGTGAGGAAGAAAAATGGGGCCTTCAGGATAATCTCTGATGGGATCCTCTTCCATAGGGGGAGTGTAGCCCTCAGGAGACCAGAGTCTATTCTGGCTTTGTCACTACATGACCTCTGCCAGTTACCTCCCTCCTTGGGCCTCTGCTGCCTCTTCTGCATGATGGGTGGATTAGATTCCATGATTTCTCAGACCCCTTCCATCTCTGCCCACTCTCCGGTCAAAGTAGCTTAAGCTATCTCCACCCCTGACTCCTCTGCATTCTGCTGTCACTTTGCACGAGGTCTCAGCAGCCTGGTAGCATACTCAGTCCTTCAGAGACAGCCTTGCATCTCTCCCTCCTTCCCTGCCGAACCCCTGATCCTTCTCTACTCCTAGTTGTGCCCACCCTGCCCAGGTCCACCAAACTTGAAGGTGACAAGATGTTTGTACAACGTGTGCTGAACCCACCTGCAGAGCTTTTGGATGGTGATCCACAGGAATGATCAGGATCACAATCTCTGATTCAATGCTGAAGTATCCAAATACATCACACTGTGGGACAGACACGTGCATGCGGATTTTCTGAAGTATTTCCAAAACTGTTATTGGCTTTTTATTTGTCACCTGGAAAAAGAAAATATTCTATTACCTGAAAAATAGAAGAATTCCCTACTATTGCCTAAGCTACCTTGCTTCAGGCTACCAGATGAGGGAGCTCTTTTGACTAAAGAGCCCTCAAGGCAAGGCCCTGACATAGCTCTGCTTGGCCAGATTCTAAATCTCCAGAGTCCATTTCGATGGGGTTTTGCCTGACTGTGGAGCTCTGCAGCAAGATAAACATTGTCCCAGGAAGTGCTTTATAAAAAAGTGACTGAGTTAGAGACCACAGGGTAATTAATGTCTTCCTATAAAAGTACAGGTGCTTTAATCAAATGGGAATAAGTGTCTAGGTAGTGTCACATGATGGCTACATTTCTGGAGCAGCAATGGTGAGAATACAGAAATGGAAAGGGGCCACTTATGCAGGAGGGACAGGCTCCGCAAGTTCTCCTTCAGGAGGTACAGGGACTGGCGTGAGGACCGGTGACCTCGAAACCACCTGGGCATCCACAAGTCTCCCACTCCTGGCTATGTGGCTCTGCCTGCAGCCTTTGCTGACACTCACTGTGCCACCAATGCCCACTGTGGCACTGATGCCCACTGTGTCACTGATGCTTACTATGGCACCGATGCTCACTCTGTTACTGATGCTCATTGTGTCACCGATGCTCACTGTGCCACCAATGCTCATTGTGCCACTGATGCTCACTGTGCTACTGATGCTTACTGTGCCACCAGGGCCTTTTTCTAAGACAGGCTCAAACTGACAGTGACATGCACAGCCAGGGTGGGGAGGGAAGGAGCTCAGGCTTGGGAGTCACCAACTGGGTACAAACCCTCGTCCTACTGATTACAAGCTGCATGGCCTTGGGCAAGTTTCTTTTCTGAAGATTAGTTTCTTCATCTATAAATGGGGATAATACATT